CCGCAGATCCCTTGCCTTCTTCCTCTTTTTAACGCCCCTTAACATCTCGCGACGGCAGTACTTTTTTCCTGCCTAGCGAGCTCCACCTACACTCTCCCTTTCTCAGCAAAAAAAAAAAAGATCCTCTCCCACTCCATACCTTGCGGCCTAATCAGACATCACCTTTCACTTCCCCTTTGCATGAACCTCAGGAATAGTTCTGCACAGACCTCTCATAACCCCCCGCCCTATCCCTTGTCACCAGTGCGCCTGATAAGGCCCTTCCAGCTAGCTGGCACCTGGAAACATCTTTCCTTCTAATGGAGCTTCGATCCCTTAACTCACTTCCGATAGGATGTAAATGTTAATGTTTCAATTAAAAACTGTAAATACACTAGATCAAGGGTGCCCAAAGCGATGGCCTGCGGGCCACCTCCTAGGGCATCCCTGCACTAAAATAATTCACGTAATTGCTAGGGCACAAATCTCGTAACCTCGGACAAGTGGACCTAAAGTTTAAAGTTAACCAGCCCCAACTCACTAACCTAATAAAGTATAGGTTGATTCTCAGTAAAAGTCCGCTCTGTCTTTGGATATATCTAAAATGTAAAAGCTAAAACCTGAAAACGGGAGGCATCTAGGCGCGAAGATGGATCTGGTTTCCAGACACGTCGACGACATTAGCTCCACCAGGGTCTTGCACTCTGTCAGCCCTGGTGTTGGGAGGATCTCACCACGGTGGGCGGTAGTCATGTGTTGGTCTACCACATGCGGGGCTCACCATACATTTAGCTCCTATTTAAAAAAAAAAGTCCAAGAGGAGGATCCTCGAGGCAAGGATAATTTTTGAACTTATGTCTCGCCTCTCCACTTGATCTTGCAACGAACTCGAACTTAATCTCATGTCAAGGTTTGACCATTTTTCCCTTGAAACCCTAGGGTCGCAGGAGTACGAATGACGCAGCCCTTCGACGGATCCCGAGTATCCGGAACCCATCGTGCCTGCGACCAGACGCGCCGAAGAGGTCCTTGTATGCTAATTTTCGTCCCACCTGGTATATGCAAATAAAACACCTGTTACCTGGCCGAGCGACTCGCATCTTTCCCACCTCGTGTCCCGGACGTGGCGTTAGCCTACACACCCGTGACAATAAGAACGAATGAAGTTCTTGCATGTTTTGAGGGAAGGAATTTGGCTTTCATGAACGCTCGCTCGAAAATTAATCACCTCCATTCTTAATTTTTCTAGGATGTCTTCAAAAATGGGACAAATTTTAAAAAGGGAACCAGTTCACCACGAAACGTCTTCGTACCATGAAACAAGACTCGGCAGCAGGACCTTTGGAAAGACCCTCGTATCTCGAAAAAGCAACGTCCATCTTCCCGACCCACTTCCACCCAGACACAAACTCCATTCTTGGTGCCGTTTTGGGTGCTCGGGCCATTCTCGGCCGTGTCGTTGGCCATACCTAAGAGAAAATTTCAAGAGGATGAATCGGGAACTGATATCGCATCTTGTATTTCTCGATTTAGAATGTAGAGGTAGACATGAAATACGGCAAAATTGCTCGGAACGAATGCTAATGAAGAGTGATGATAGAATCGGTACTGTCTTAAACGCCTGGGAAACTCTCCATTTTGACTAACAACCGAGGCCGCCACGGGAAAACGGTTCAAAGTCCACTGGTATTTGTTTTTTTTTTCTCTCATGACTTCAACTTCATGGCATATTTTAGTGCCATTCGATTCACTCTTCAGACTGAGTCACGGTTGATTATTTTGTACTCATTGTACTGCATACAAAAGACATTAATAAGAAACAGTACCGAAGCCACGAAAGCCAGTTCAGTCAATCCCAGACTTCGTTAATTTTTCCTGCCGAAAAATCACAATCAAATATCCCCAGGCTTCGACTGGATATATTACTTCCGCGAATTCCTAGAAAATGCCTTTCTATCCCCTGCAATATTCGGATCCTTTGTGCGGAAAAAGGCCTCCCTGGGACGAAATGAAAGCCTCCAGGGGAGGATCATCCTCATCTGCAAACTGGGAGAAGGAAGTGACGGATTCTCATTCGTTTCTTCTTGACAGACTCCGTTTCGGCAAACAAAGTCCTCCGGATATTAAAAAGTATTTGTGAAATTCTTGTTCTCCTGCCCCCTTTCCCAGAATTCATACAGGGTCTTCAACAAAACAGAGTGTCCTTTTTTTAATTCATATTTTTCGAAATATCTGAAATTGTACAACACATTTATCGAGTTGCTTTTCTCTTCAACCAATCACATTGCTCAACGCGAGAGCCTTCGACTCGGAGAATCCTTTCAAGACGTTCTCGAAACCATGGCAAGTATCTCCTGGTCGTACCCGCCACGACCGACGTCATTTCCGCTTTCAGATCTGCAGTTGCATCAGGGTTGTTTCTAGAGACATTTTCTTTGAGGAATCCCCATCAAGTTGACTCAGAAAATATTCATAGCAACATCGTGTGACTTCCAGCTTACACCATATAAAAATTCAGCAGTCGCGCAGTGTTCCTATATTGAAGTTAATTCCTGCCTGTGGTCAAGTTGTTCTTTGCATATTAATCTCAAAAAAAATTTTTTTAACAAACACATAAGTTCACTACTTACTAAAACTTTAATGCAGTAATTCTTCATAATCTATGGGAAGTTTTATTGTCATTTTCTTATTTAGAATGTGGCCAAAAAGTCCCTATGCATGAAATATTAGCGTTATTCTTTTTTGGACATGTGAATCAGCTAAGTGATAGGGACTTACATATACGTGAAGCTGCCTGTAAGGCACTGTTAGAACGTTTCCCCACTCATAAGGCACAGCGTAATGTCTTCTCAGACGAGTGTGCAGTTTATCTGAGCAAACGGGCCAGAAATGTCTATTTTTGGTGCAAATAAACCCCCCACTATTTCGAGGAAACTGAGCAGCACCCACTCCACGTCACGATACGGGCAGCCATTTCCACAGCTCACTCGATCGGACCATAGTTTTTCAAATGAGCTGTTATTCACGCGTCATATCTCAACGTGTTGCAAACGCGGTTGTTCCACGATTGCGAGAGCGGGACCTCGAAACAACATGCAAGACACACAACTGACAAATATAGAGGAATTCCAAACGGCTGTCCGGAACTGCTTTTACGGTATGCAGCCTTCCACTTTAGAGAATATGTCGAGAAGAACTTGGGCACGAATCCAGCTGCGTGCTGAGATTGGAGGGCAACACGCGAAGCCGTTCGAACAGAGGTACATTGTGACCATATTCAGGCACAAGGACTCCAAGGAAGTTCGTTTTTCAAACTGTTCCTAAGGCCACTCACAGTTATCCATGAAAAAAAAGTCATTCCGAAAATGCATCTCATAACTGTTGTCAAAGTTCACGATTCGGTGAAGAAAGTGTATGTATAGTAATAGCATTGACCTGAGCGTCCGTAAATGGACAGCCCCCCTAAATCAATGCGTCAAGGGGAAATCCTTGCAATTTCCATGTTAGATAAATATGTCACCCATTCCTATCCTCAAGCATACTGATATGAGTAGGAAACTAGTTGAAGCCTATTTCCCTACCATCTTAAGAGATACAAAGCAAAGGCCTTGCTCCTCGGGCAAATATAGTTGAGTTTTCGGTTAGATAAACTGAAATGTTCCTGAATCCCAATGGGTCAAAATTGGTTTGGCCTAAGCGTCTGTCCGATTTGATATAAGCTTGCTAAACCAGTCCCTTTAGGGCACCAACTCGTGCCTCCGAAGTCGAACAATAACTGTAGCATACAAATCAATGGCCATTTGTTTTCCCTCTCACTTCCTTGAAGGAAGAAAGTGTGAGAGCGATGTTGGCCTAGGCATCCATCCATGGTTTAGGCCGATGCCTCAGAATTTTCCCCCAGGGCGTGCACCTCCAAAGTCGGATTTTCGATGTCCGACTTTGTATGGAGTCTATGGAGCTATTCACGTTTCTTCAAATTTCGTTGAAGGAAATGTGTGCACGAGAATGGCATAGGACTAAGCGTCCATCTGTGGGTTGGGCCTTGGCTTACAAAATCAGTCCCCCAAAAAAATGTGCTCCGAGCGCACGTATCCCCAAAGTTGAAGGTTTTCTGGAGTCAACAATCTAACAGCTACTCGTGTACCAAGTTTCAGCCTCTCATCATTTCTTGAACATTATTAAAATTAGCGTCAGTCATGCACTCATGATCGTACATTATACAATGTACGATCATACATTAGACAATACAAAGCCACTGACCAGAATAAGAGTCTACCCATGTGGTAAGACAGAAGGATTCACATATACACACTGAACTACAATGACGGAGAGTCCTCAGTCTACTGGAAGTCGAAGATTTTTCCTCCGTCCAGGTTAAAGGGAAGTCTCTTGGAGGGGAGGTGAGTCCTCTCCTCCAATTTCTCTGAGCAAACTCCAGAATGTCTTAGTGAGCCAAGACCTGCTTCAGGGTAGCTTGGGTTCTGATATTTTTTTCGAATGCTCAAGGAAAACCTCATGAAGGGGAAAGTACGAAAAAAATTACTATTACAATTTGTTTGAGGCAAAAGCACTAGAGTTACATTCCTGGGACATGTATAAACGGTCATTCTCAGCAATAACATTGCCTATAGAATGGAAATGACCTGCATCACTGCGTGAGAAATGTTTAAAATTACGCGGACAATAAATGTGGCGTTTTCATGAAGGAAACGGGAACTTTTAGCCTCGAGACAGCGGAGACGTCGAAGAACTCGCCGGATGGGATCCTCTTTTTCGCATTGACACATGCAGCAGCCATGAGCGGGTGATGATCATTCCCGTACAACGAATGCCGTGGAAGGTTGGCATTGTGCTTTCGAGGTCTGGGCATTTGTTCTGATAAGGGTGCTGGCAAGGGCCAGTGGGGGAGATTTTTCTTTAAAAAACACAATAAATAATTTAAAAAACTTTATTCAAAATAGATGTTAAGGAACCCGTGCAGGTATCGGGACGATCGAGAACTTTGGTGTATTTACTTTAGATTTCAATCTAAAGTAAATACACCAGAGAACTTCTCTGAATTGGGCTTCTTTGAACTCATTTTCACAGACGAACTCCTTGATCTAATAGTGACAGAAATAAATAGATTTGCATCTGACTTCATTTCGAAAACAACTCTGAGTGAATATTCAAGGGTAAAGAAATGGAAATACCTCTCTGTACAGGATCTTCGTGTACTGATGTTGATGGGAATTACAAAGCGGCCCACTATTCAGTCGTACTGGACAACTGATGAATTTTTCATCATCCCTGTTTTTGGCAAACTCATGTCTGTCAATCACTTTCTACTCATTGCAAAGTTCCTGCACTTTACTGACAACAGTCTGGCTGTTCCTGGAAATAAATTGTTCAAAATGCAGCCAGTCATTCAATATCTGAAAACTAAGTTCCGCCAATTATATGAACCTGGGGAAAATTGTCTATGGACGAGTCATTGATGCTATGGAAGGGCCTGGAAACGATACACGAAAGACTAAGCTGCAAAATGGGGGATCAAATCCTATGAGCTCTATGAGTCTGATGAGTATGCTCGTGGGTATGTATTAATAGTTGACTTGAATGCATACACAGGCAAGGCAGTTGAACCATCAGAAATCCCTGTAACACAGAAAGCTGTCTTAGACCTCGTGGACTCTGGTGGCTTGTGAAACGGTCGCAAGCTGTACACGGATCGATTTTACAGCATCCCAGATCTTCTCATGAAGCTGAAGTCATTGGGATATAACAGCTGTGGTACAGTGCAAGCTGGCTGAAAGCATATGCCGAAAGACCTCAAAAGTATGCAACTCGTGAGAGGTGAAGTAGAGACTCGAATCTCTGAAGACTTGCTGGCATTGCATTGGAAAAATAGGGATATACAGTATACATGCTTTCCGATTTTCATAATGCATCTAGAACTCAGACAGATAAGATTGACCACAAAACACAGTAGCCAATATCCAAACCTCAAGTTGGGTCGGATTGCAACAAAATGATGGGCGGTGTTGATGTTTGCGATCAGATGAATGACTCTTATCCGTGCCTACGGAAGAGTGTGAAGTGGTATCAGGTTTTTCCCATTTTTTTTTTACATTTCAGTTTTTCAGGCTTACAAACTGAAATGCATACATGAAAAAAAACACCACTCAGACCCACCATGACTTCAAGAAATGTTTCATTCGGCAATTGGTGGCATCACACGATATCTAGGCTAACGTGCAATGCATAAACATAGGGGAAGAAAGTGTAGCTTGAGCCTCATCCTAGCCTGGATTTCCTCTCGTTTACTCCAAGCACAAGTAATCGCCAAATAGCGAAATCCTAGGTGAAGTAGAAATCCTAGGAGCTGTAATGAACTTCTAGCATGCCCGCACTCTATGGAGCCGAGCTGAAGTGGGGGTGGGGGTGGGGGTGGGGGAGGTCCCATCCCATCCCCTGCACGGTCTCACTTCACGCACATGCACCCAGTAACTGCGCTCCCTCCTCCGCCGCCGCCAAGGCGGCGTGAGCCACTTAGGCTTATCTGATAATTCTATGCATCTTGATTCATAATTCTCTCGAGCGAACGACAGCCTACCAAGCCCATGAAACTGAAGCCCCACACCATAATCTTCTGCCTGTTTTTCGGGATTCGCTCGACATCGCCTCTTGGATTCTCTGACCATCGACGAATCGTGTTTCTGTATAATCGAAGGTCTCGTCGGTGAACACCGTTCGGCTCCAATCGTCAACAGGACGCGCGCATCTTCGCCCCACGCGTCAATGTCGACGCAGACGGCCACTACGGCGTCTGTTCTCCGCCGTGCCTGGTTCTTTCATCTTGGCAATATTTTACTCGACAGTCCGAACGGGTATCTGTGTCAGACGAGCAATTGCGGCAGGAGATCGATGGCCGTTGTTCCAGAAGTGTAAAATGGTTGATCGCTTCGTTTCTGGCGAAGTAGAGTTTCGTTGTCGGTGCATTTTCTCCCAACTCAAGAATGTTTACGACGATTTGCGGTTTTCACAACTATATATAGACCTTACCTCACCTAGAAAATTCCCGAGACATGCTTCCAGAAAGTCAGATTTTGCGGGGGGCAAGGACTTTTCTACCCCAGTGTATCTCCAAAATAAGTAGTCACAAACACATAAGCTAATTACATCAGCATTTAAACATTATACATTCCCTGTAGCCTCTGGGAAGTTTATCGTTACATTCATATCCATATTCAGGCACAAGGGCTCTGAGTAAGTCCCTTTATCTAATTCTTCCTAAGGCTACATGCAGTTGCCCATGAAAAAAATACGTCATTCCGCTCGTGCCGCCCATAGCTAAGCATGCTCGCAATTTATTGGAGAAAGTGTGTGCAAAGAAGTAGCATTGGCCTAAGCGTCCGTAAGTGGATTGGGCACAGTCGTTCAAAATCAAAGGGCCGATTGCATGAACGATGTTTATTTTAGACATTGACTATCGATAGTAATTGTTTAAACATTGTCTACGAAAACATCGGTTAACCGATGTCTACTTTCGATTGCGTGAACGATCCCTAAGCCATAGACATCGGTTAGACAATGGTTAAAGGAAGATAGCGTTCATGCAATCCATTTTTGACCTTAGACATCGGTTAACCGATGACTTTCGAAAAACACCGGGAAAACATCGTTCATGCAATCGGCCCAAAATGTCGGAGAAAATCTTCCTACCCGTTTCCCTACTAGGAAAATATACGTAACCCATTCGCGACTGCAAGCGTGCTGTTATGAGGCAATTCATGTTCCTCCCTTCACCTGCGACATTGAAAGTCTGAAGCCAAAGGCTTAGGCAAAGATAGCTAGTTTCTCTATCAGACGGGCCGAAAAGTTTCTACAAGCGAATAAGTCAAGATTACTTTAAGCCTGAGCGTCTGTCCGAGGATTAGATATAGGCCCGCTACACACTGTAAGTCCCTTCGGGACACTTACTCCTCCAAGGCGTGCTCCATCCGTAGTAAGTGATCCGAGTGACTTTTTTTCCCTTCCCACTTCATTGCAGGAAAGAAGCGTACGAGTGGTAGCACCCTAGGTGTCCATCCGCGGATTAGGCCTAGGCCTGCGAAATCGGTTCCCCCCGGGTCACTTGCCTCAGCGTTTCTGTAGTCTGCAACCCAACAGGTATCATGTTCCCGCTTCATTGGAGGAAGTAGGAGTATAGTTTGAGCCTAGGCTAAGCGAAATTTTCCCTCGGGCTATGTATCTCTAAAGTCGGACTTTCTCTGGAGGCGGCAACTTGGCAGTTATTCATGTTCCATCCAGTTTCGTTGAAGGAAGTGTTTGTAAGGGAAAGGCATAGGCGCAAGCGTCCGTCTGTGGGTTAGGTTTAGACTTACAAAATCAGTCCCCCCCCCCCCTCCTTGGGCACTTACCCTCAAAGTTGGAATTTTTCTAGGGAGAATAATCTAACGGTTGTTCGTGTACCAAGCTTCAGGCTCTCATCATTTCTAGAACATGGATAGTATTAGCGTCGCTCACGATCGTCTACATACTATTCGTGTTCAACCATCCCCGGACTAAATGAGGAAGCTATCCAAAGTTTGGTCGGACTGGGATCAGAAGCGTGGCCGTGCATCAAGGAAAGACAGACAAAAACACGAACATTCGGAAATTTAGTATAGATTGATTTTGAAGGAGTATATCAGTGTCACGTACGTCGATGGAAAAGCCATAACTTAAATTCTTTATCGTTTCAGAAAATGAGAAACTCATAAAATCTCTGGCTACCCGCATATTACTCATCAGTGCCATAGTTTTACATTACAGTCATCACCGCTATCAAAACACTCTGTCAGGTTCGCTGACGATCCTCGATTAAAGAAGTCCAGAACTGGCTCCAAACGGGCTCCCAAAACTCACTCCAACTCCAAAACTTGGCATGGAATCATTGCAATGCACGAATCGAGGAAATAAAGTGAAGAAGAAACGATTGCCAAGCATCCCAAGCAGGAAAACATGGAAGGAATCCATGTGCTTCCAGAGGAAGTCTCGAGACCGGCCGGTCACCTGAGCTCGACTTGACCCGAGTGACCTACCTGGTCCACTTGACGAGCGTGATCTGTCATTCCATCTCCTTTGCTCCATCTGATGAGGTCTCGTTCGTAGCGTCTTGGTTAATTCCCTGTCGACTCCCTTCTCCGACCTCATCAATCAACTATTCCTTCATGCAGCATGTGCGTTTTTTTTTTCAACCGAGGTTTCGGAGCAGGGACGTGTGCAACCTATGGCCCGTGGACCTGCTTCTCGTGGCGGTCTTTCCCACTTTCGCCCTCGAGACTTAGTTGCTAAATTTTCCCTATTCTCTCATGTCGATAAACGGGGACGTGAGTGCACAGAGGCGACTTTCCAAACGTTGATTTCGTGACTGATGACCACGTCTGCCTCAACCATTTAAAAGGGGAGGTAAGGCTAACTCGCTCACTTTATGTAAGATGAATATTGAAAGAGACTTGGAGTGGATAGAAACTATAGTCATCACGGAATCAGAAATCATTCTTCCTATGAAGAATCTTATGAAGCAGGCATTTGATGATGGTATAAAGTATACAAATTAAAAGGTCATTAAGCTAAATAAAAAATATCGCATCCGAAGGAACAGACGGGCTAGCCAAATGACGGGATTAGGGAAAAATCCACCCGGTTATAAGTCCCCGAGAATTGGCAAAAGTGGAAGAGTGTCACCCCGTTATGTTCTCGTCAGATTAAAGACGCATTCATTTTTGTGACATTTATTGATGTTGCTATGTTATTTAATCAACTTCTTATGCAAAAAAAGCAACAATACAAATCCAATTCACCGCAGAAAATGCTGGATGTACATTTATCCTTGGCTGTAACGTAGGCAAAGGTCCTGATGACGTCCCTGAAGTTTCAAATATATTATTTTTCTCTTCTTCTTTGTCCACGCAACCATCATCACGTTGATTGGGGATCTCCGGCATCGGTTTTTGCAGACTGCGGGACATCTGCGTTTCTGCAATTGCAGGTTCCAAGCTTCAAAATGAGTATTTGTCCTACTCATTCCATGGAGAGTAGCGTCATGTTGATTCCATGTTTCGGGTGGGAACAACGCTGGAGTCCGTCGAAGGCGCACCCGCAAACCTCCTGGTTGTGGAAACTGACGTAAAGTTGCATCAAAAATGATCCCAACTCCTCCGTTTCTGGAGGTGCTTCTTCTTCTGAGGTGACGCATCCCTTCTTCGGCTACTGGAGGTGCTTCTTCTCTGGGGTGATACATCCCTTCGGCTTCTGGAAGGGACGCCAACCCGTCCTATTGCCTCGCGAAATGCCGCAAGTCTTCGTTCTCGCGGTGCAATCGGACAAGTCCCAATTCCTGCAGTTTTTCTCCATACCGATTGTGTCAAATGGAACTAGCAACCTCTGATCCTTACATCATCTCCAAACACCTGTCGTACTGCTTGAATAGCGCTCATTTCCAAATCCATCATGACTTCGTCCGGATCTGGAGACAATTCAAGAGTAGCACAATTACTGATAATCTTGGCACTTCCTTGTGAGAAGCGCAAACACAGATGGTACCGTCTTCTCTTCCAATGGGACGTGGATGACACAAAGTTGCTTGAAACCCTTCGGTGCTGATTCAAATGACGACGGGCACATCCCTATACTCCCCCACCCCACCGACCATTTGTCGCTTCGACGAGGTCAACTGGATCCAGCAACCATGCCATTCTCCCTGCGGTTATGGTATACTTGCTTCTGCGGTTTTGACCCATACCTTATCATATATCAGATATAT